CGCAACCTAGTATTATTACCACTAGATTTTAGTCTAATACTTATTGTGACTATTTACGAGCGATATTGTTTTATAAGTGTTAAACAATAATTTTCAACCACTATGTACAGACAGGAGCCAGACATGAAACATTGGAGGGCAGGACCATTTTGGCATTATAGCACTTCTGAAATCCAACAACCCTATGCGGCCCTTCAAACCAGATTCCTCGTACCGCGAGTAGTTAAAAGATATTATAATAACAATTTATATATTATATTTTATAATATATATTATTTATAAGTTCGTAATAATGATAATAAATTTAAACGTAAGCTATACTTAAATTAGGGTAAACATAACTCACTTAGCAGGAGGTTTGGCTAGAAACCGGGCTCTGCGGGGGCAGAACTTCCGAGCCGAAAAGCTCTTTTTCTCGGAGCCTTCTGGCGCTCTGGGGGCTTTCCTCTAGCAATTAGAAGTTACTAGAGGTTGGGGACGTTTAGAGAGAGGTTAGAGAGAGAGAAGGATGATGGTGTGAAGAATGAAGGTAACCCTCACACCCTTTATATAGGGGTCTGGCTTCGGTTACGCAGGGCGCTCCTTCGCTGGTACACAACGCGTACCTCGGTGCACAGGGCGTACAAGCTTACACATCGCATATGAGTGGACATGTGGTGAGCTTCGGGTGGGGCGACGTGGTTGCTCCGGAGCCTAGTATGCGAGAACACGGGGCGTACCCTTCTGCACGGGGCGTTCATGTGCAATCTCGTAACAGCCACTTCCGACTTCTAAATTCCGTAACTTTCGCATACAAGCTTCGTTTTTGACGTTATTTATTTCCACGCGTAGGTAGAGGTGTACTCTACAACTTTCGTTTAGACTCCGTCGGCTAATTTTGATTTATTTTTAAAGTTATATTTTTAATAGGCCTGGACATGTAAAGTTCGTTAAAAATTCATAACTTTGTCATCTGACGTCCGTTTTCGTCTCTCTTCTTCCTGTTGAGCTTCTATTAACGAGATCTTCGACTCCCGTTTAGGTTGTGTCGGCTAAAAGTCGGTCGATCTAATATTCGAATCCCGGGTTGCATACTTCTATGCTAAATCTTAGAAAAATCATAACTTCCTCATACGAAGTTAAATTTGGACGGTCTTTTTATACACCCTCTCGGTTTAACGTATACTACGACTTTCGATTAGATCGCTAAAGCTAAAAAGTACTTTATCGTAAACTCACTTTTTACGTCACACAGCGTCATGCCGGTTTTGTCGCGAAACTTCGACATGTCATAACTTCTTCGTTATAACTCGGATTTCGGCGTTCTTTATATCTCCGAAATCCTTGTTACGACCACTACAACTTTCTTCATAGATATTGGGTTTATCTATTATTTTATTTTTGACGTTTTATTTTTTATTCTTAACTTATTGTATCTTATAAATAAGTATAATGCACATAAAATCACGTAATCCATATAATATTTAAGTAATTTCTCTTTATTACTTCAAATTAGGTTACAATTATTGACCCTAATTATTACATTATCATACTAATGCTTAACCTAGAAACACATGCCGTTACAAATTAACCAACAACAAAAATGCACTTCAACAAAGCCAAAAGAGAAAAAGTCAAAAAAAGGTTTTGAACCTTCAGGCCCGGATAATTTGAAGATTTTTCATTTACTTTTCTTAAAAACAATTTGGTACCAAATTTTGGCCATATGATAAATTGAAATTCATGTCACCATAAATATTGCAATTCAGTTTTGTCTACTTGATTCCAATGGTTAAAAACCTGCTTTTTTTTTAACGAATTATATGCTTATAAATTTAATCGGTTGTTTTTTATACTGATCTTTTGGCCAAGAGGCTTGTGAATTGTTTAGAAATTGTTATTAGTACAACACTGAGTCAAGAACAATGATGTTTTTTATAAGTGCTAAATAATTTTGGATGCTCCTCTAATTTTGAACAAGGTGATTTCGTGGGCAAAAAAACTAAGAGGGTGTTTGGGTGTTCATCTAAAAATGATTATTTAACTTGTTGACTTTTTGAAAAGTCAATAAGTTAAAAAATATTTGGATACTTAATAAGGATTTTTAAAACAACTTTTTGTTTACCAGTTGAAAAAGGGTTTTTAAAAAGTAAGAATTTTTGATTTTTTGAAATGACTTATAACTTATTAAGATTAAAAACAAACAAAAGTCAATTTTACCATAACTTATTAGCCAAACACTTTTTAATTTATTGACTTATTGACTTTTGCCACTGAAAAAACTAATGCAAACACTTTTTTAAAATTTTTTTCCAGTTTTATAAGTCAATAAGTTCTTTTAAGTAAAAGTCATTTTTAACTTCAAAATGAAATCTCAAACACTCTCTAAATGCCAAATGTTTCTCTTAAAACAGGATTTGTAATGACGTTTGAAATTTATGGAAGTTCTTAGAAAACACTATTTTCCGTATCGGATTCAGTTGGAAGTTGCATACTTGGATATTTGGTTGTCTACTCTATTTTCTTTAATCACACTCCAACGAAGGAAATTCAATTTAGAGAAAGGGGGTTAGAGATGGTGACCCCTTTTCTCCCCTTTGCTTAGTCTCATTTAGCAATTTGGGAATGAGGCTATTTTTCTTTTCTTGGTAGCATTATGAAAACTCTTTTAGAAGGTTGTTAAGATCGGTATTTTATTTATGATTGTTTTACGTTTTGGAAGATGGTGATCGGCTCGGGATAAAAAAAATCATATCAAAATGAACTAATTCAAATTTTTTCGCAAGGTATTGAGTACGAAAACTATATTATAAATTTATGTTGATTAAGACGTAGATAGGGGAATCAATTTTAATTTATTAAGCATGAACCATAATTTTTGTTTTTTACAAACCGTAAAAATTAAGAAGAAAACTTCTTAATTAGAAAAAAAACGATCATTTGATCATGTACAACTAACGACATAAAGATCACACAAAGATTATTATGACTGTGCTCTACCTAATTCAAGATGAATCATGAATAGGTGGAAGTCGTTTTCTTTTTCATGGAAGTGTTGGATGCAAAGATACTTCCTGCCCTTCTAACTATCTTGCGCTCATGGACCATGGTTTCCTTCTTGGATGACAAAAGTAAGTGGTTATATGGCTTTTAGAAAAGAAAAGGTTGTTCTCAGTTTCTTCTCTTAAGGCTGCCATTGATGACTTCTATCTTCCCCACAATGGTAGAGTATGTTTTGGAAGAAGTTTGTTCCCCGAAATGTTAACATCATGATTTGGAGGTTAGGACTTGGTCGATTAACATCAGAAGAGGAATACCATGGCTGAAACATAGTTTCACTTAATATTATGGTGTTGAAAGACTTTGTTTTTCATTGGTTAGGTGTCAAATCAACAGAGGTTCAGAGGAGTTGCTATATTCCTTCCCATTTACGTTTCGCCAAATGCAAGAAACATATTTTTGAGATTGTTTTGTTGACAATTTTGAGGCAGACTTGGAGCTGCATGGAACAAGTTACTTAACCAAAAAAAAAATCATCTCACTTGCATTCCAGTTCAATGAAACTCATGTCATATATGTCTCACAATTGGTGCAATAGGCGAAAGGTTATAGGGCCTAAACTTGTATGGTTGAACTATAGTTGTAATCGGCCTCTCGTTAGCTTGTCATTAATTAATAACTGTTCCAAAAAAAGGTTAAGAAAAAAAACAATTGGTATCATTAATCATTCATTTAAAGCAAAGTTAATGTCTATTTAGTTATATACAGTGGTCGTTGATTTTTTTTTGATATTGTCTTATTTTAACTAATTGTTTTTCAATGATTTAGTGATCTTAAAATATCATGGTATTAATTGAAAACCAACTGATTGAAAGAAAGATCGGCACAAACTGTATTGAAAAGCATATGGAATAGTTTCACTTTTAAATAAATAAATAAATAATAATGATGACTTAGTAATTAATATTATACAGAGTAAATTTATAATTTCAATTGTTCAAACTTAAAATGAAATACCCATTAATCATCCTCGCAAAAGTGCATGTATACCGACGAAGACATCCACAACTTAATTTACCCAAGGGACAAGGTAACTTAATCTATTTATAGAAAATGTTTTAGTAGGAATTATATATCAACGGATTACATAAAGATCGTAACAATATTTTGTGAATATGCATCTGTGGGTAATTCCATAAATATGAGAAATCCGGGTTTGAAGTTGGTTAATTTTTTAGTTCCGAGATTGTGGGAAAAAGTGTTGGTTATTCTTGAGTATTATAATATATGTATACAGAAAATAGCTTTTTATTGTGGAAAAAATGTTAATAAAACCTTAAGCACATATGATATCTTAAGCATCCACATATAATTTATGTTTTAACGATTTGTACGATAGCCGTAAAGGTGCTGTACTTATGTAGATTAATCAAGTAGTTTTTAAGTGCAAGTATCAACTATCGGTTATATATGTTTGACGTCAAGCATATCAATCACATGTTAGGGCTAGACCACTTGGCTAACATGAAAGTTTCTAATCTAACAAAACCAACTAGGAGGTCTTGGGTTCAATCTTGGACAAATGAGATATTTCATTATTTGCAGATTCCAAAAAAAAAAAAAAAAAAAAAAAATGTCAAGCATATCAATGATGTTTGGTTAAAGGATATTTTAATCATGAGTTCAGATTGGGAAATGTATAGAGTGTAGTATTCGTTGATACTTGTAATATACATAAATTCCAATGCAGTTTCTCTTTCTCAGTTTTTTGTACCATTCCATCGAGTCATTTTTTTGTTCTTTTCTTTCACACTTTTGTCTTTATCATTTTTCTTTTATATTATTCCAACTGTTTGAAAAAATAAAAAAGCATGAGTAAAATCAAGATTTGATATTACAACAAAACGATAGAGAAGTATATACAATTTCGAAGAAAACAACACAAAATAAAAGAACTCAAATACAAATAACCCCTTTTCCTCTAGATCCTCTTAATTAGGTGATAATGGCGTTGTAAATTCCTAGACGTGAACGGAATGGCCAACCCCAGGGCTATGTCCGGGATTGGTAGGCCGAAAAGCATCCAAGTCTCCTTCGGCAGTATTGACACCAGAAGTTGGCACTTGGCCATTTTCATCGTTTACAAGCTTTCCTTGCAAGCATTTTGAGGTACACTGAAAGCTTCCAGCTATCATTCTTGCTTCAGTCATTTGCAACACTTCATTGTTCACAAACAACATGATCAAGACGCAACACAAAAGGGTTCTACACCACCTTGCCATTTTAAAAGAAAGAACTTTTGAGAGTGTTAAGGTGGTATACAATCCTTAATGTGTTAGAAAGATATAAGAGGAGCTTGGTGATTTGTTTGGCTCAGAGTTCCATCGTATTTATAGAGGGACGAAGGTGACTATTATTTTAGGGGTAGCATTTGATGTCCGTAGACATGGAAATACTAAAGAAGGTTATTATATATATATATATATATATATATATATATATATATATATATATATATATATATATATATATATATATATAGGGTGAGGTTCAATACTGAACCATAATTAACCAAGGAACCAATGAACAATCTTTTTTTCAACTTTTAGAACTTATTTTTTATCAAAAAAAAAAAAAAACTAAAAATACAGAAATTCATAACTTTTTATCCTTTTTCCAATGATATCAAATTCGTTTTTTTTTATTATTTTTTTTACGTCAAATTCATAATGTGAATCTTTGAAAATTCACAATGTGAATCCGGATTCACACGGTGAATCCGGAAAATATTTTTCACATTCACAATGTTAATATATGAATTTAGATATTTTTAGATATTTTTTTCGATAAAGAATAAGCTCTAGAAATTGAAAAAAAGATTTGGTTCCTTGAAAAACCAATAATTATGGTTCTCTATTGAACTTTTCCATATATATATATATATATATATATATATATATATATATATATATATATATATATATATATATATATATATATATGTTATTATATTCAAACTAATTATTGTACATCTATCGTATGCTATGAGAATTAATAAGAGAATAAGTTGTTTAGTAATGTGAATACGTTCAACCTTATAAGAATATCGTCAATTTCATGAATTGTCGTTAATTATTTTTTTTGTTCTCATACATCGTTTTTCACTCATTTTCATTCTGACAGAATACGACCCAATAAAAAAATTCTGACAGAAATGAGAATAATAATAATAAGTGTATAATAACCTTATAGACGATTTAATTAGTGAGAATGTGTGTTAATGATAATAGTTATATAATATTGAATGTATTTATATTATCAAACAATATATTTTCTTTATCATTCTCATAGCATACGATAGATGTACAATAATTAGTTTAAATACCTGAACCTAACTCTCTCTCTCTCTCTCTCTCTCTATATATATATATATATATATATATATATATATATATATATATATATATATATATAGGGGATAAAGAATATACATTACAGCTCCATCTGAGTTTAGCTACTAAACCTCTAAAAATGTGTCGTTTTAATTAAATAAATATACTCCGTTTGGTTTTCATTTGGTAAATATATCATCCCCGATATATTTCTTTCCTACATTATCGTTTTATCATCTCTGTTTTCTTACTTTCATTATCGTTTATTACTATATCCAAGTGAACATTACTATTTTCCACCGTCATGAAGGTCAACGATAATCAATATTCTTGTTTCCCTATCACAATTAGTGTGTCAGTCTTGAATCTGCACCTTCAAGTGTTAATCGTCAATCCACTAAACATAATCTTTAGATAATAAAACGACATATTTTCATGAGGTTTAGTACTAAGCTTAGGTGGAGCTATAATGTATATTCACTTTTCCCATATATATATATATATATATATATATATATATATATATATATATATATATATATATATATATATATATATATATATATATATATATATATATATATATATATATTATATATATATATATTCAGGATCTTTTACGGACCTATATTTTTCATCGAACTCTACGTACTTTTACGAGTGAAAAAAAAATAAATGTTATTAATTACACCACCACCATCCACCACCCCAACACCACCACTACCATCACCACCACCCACCGCACCCCACAACTACCGCCACTGCCACCCACCACCGACTACCCCACCACCTGTTGATTATCAGAACCAATAGACACGCAAGGAAACCAATAAATAATTTGAGAATTGTATGTCGATTAGTTGCGAATAATAAATCCAATTATTATTAATATGGTTACCTAGTTTCGTCCATAAACAAAATCAATCCTTCTCGATTAGATCGGATTCTAAGAAAGATAGAAGAAGGGTGTCCTGTTTTTGGACGAAAGTAAACGCAAGATAGTAAAGTAAAACCGTCCTCTTGACGGTTGATCTTGATCTTGAAGAACTGTACCGATCGGACTCCTACCTTAAAGGTTTTTACTTCACTTCTATTAGTTATAAGCAACAGAGTAAAACCTCATGATTTAATGCAAACTTATCGGTTTTCCAACGACAATGGAAAATAATAAACGCAAAGTGGATACTCGGAAACCTAGGAAGCAATCGCAGAGAGAGAGAGAGAGAGAGAGAGAGAGAGAGAGAGAGTGTGTGTGTGTGTGATGTTATTTTCGTGTGTGGAATGCGGCTCCTAGGGAGCTGTATTTATAGGTGTCGAAACCCTAGAAGACAATAATTTGCTCTCATAGGCCAGACCCTAGAAAACCTAGGGCGACGCCTTGCTCTCTAAGCAAGCCGTTTTCCGTGCCTTCCAGAATATTCTGACGTGATTTCTACGAAGTCAACGACGTATAACCAACTTGACCCGAACTCACCAAAAACAAAATCTCCTCAACTCCCAATGACCGATGCCTCGTGTGAAGTTCCAAGTGCGCCTAAATCGCCCCATTTCGTGCATTTGCGGCATCGGCTAGGCTAGGCTTGGTGCGCGTGTGGGCTTGGCCAATTTCTTTGATCCACTAAAGCCTTTGAAGGCCTATTAAGGGAATAAGCTTATAAACCTGTAAAACTTTCTTCCTCCCACCAATGTGGGATACAAAGGAAATTACCAACTTGCAATTCCTTTATACATGTAAAATTCCAACACCACCACCACCCACGACCCACCACCACTATCACACTACCACCACCCCACCATTACCGCCTCCACACTGTTACCACCACCAACATCCCCACAACCCCCACTGCCACCGCCACTCACCGCTCGCCACCACACCACCACCCACCACACTCACCACCGCCATCGCCATCGCCACCCACTAGCGCCAACCACCTACTACCACCCCATCCCCATTATTTGCACCACCATCGTTGCCCCCACCCCACCACCACCACGACATCACTCGCAACCACTACCACCCCACTGACATCTCCACCCACCAACACCCCCACCGTCACTACCATCCCCATTACCACAACCCTACCGCCACAACCATCATTACCACTCCCATCACCATGACCACTACAACAACCACCCTCCACTGTCACTGTCACTGTCACCGCTATTACCATTGCTTACTTGATATATTCACTTGTAAGTTGTACATTATATATCCATTATGAATATTACATAGTATATTTACGTATAAATATTGCACAAAAAATTCACATCGGAATAAATATTTTATATGTTATTTACATGCGAATTCTCATATATGAATATACCATGTAATATTGAGATATGAATATAATTTTATATGTTATTCACATATGAATATTTACATGTGAATATAATTTTATATATTATTCACATATGAATATGCATGAGAATGTTTTTATTTTTATTTTTTTAGAAGTTATTTTCAAAAATATTACCTATTTTTTTAAATCCAATAATTTTTTTTGCATCAGCTCTCGTTGTACTTTTTTTTTTCGAAAAATCTCTCATTACCTGTTATATTCACATGTGAATAAAAGAATTTAATAGATTTTTGTTATATTTCATTTGTTATTCACATGTGAATAATTTATTTATTATACTTTTGTGATAGTTTAATCGTTTTTCACATATGAATAAAAGCATCTATTTGATTTTTGTTAATGTTCATTCCTTGTTCACATATGAAATACTCGTATATCATTTTTTTTAAAATTAGTTGTCCTCATATGTTATATTCTCATGTGAATAAAACGTTAGTTATATTTTTATTACAGCTCATTCAATATTAACATTCACATGTGAATAAAGTAGTATATCATTTTTTTTAAAATTACTTCTCCTCATATGTTATATTCACATATAAGTGTACTTTATATGTTATTTCAATATGAATATTCATAAAAATATTTTTTATTTGTAGATAGTTTTTTTTTTTGAAAACCTTACCCATTTTTCTTAAATTTAATGCTTTTATTTTTATTTTCTTGCATCAGCTATAGTCACATTTAAAAAAGAAAAGAAAAGAGCTATCGTCACATATTATATTCACATGTAAATTATAACATTTATCATATTTTTGTTACACTTCATTCGTTATTCATATGTGAATAAATTGTTGATCAGATTTTTAATATAGGAAAATGAACGGCGAATCGAATCATAATCGAAACTACAAAGATTGTCTTGAAAAATAAGTCTCCAAAACATCAAAAACATCCAAAACATTATGAACATTGAAACTGCGAAAAATCATCACAACACATGTTGAATGCGAAAATAATTTCGAAATTAAGGCACAAAATACAAATTCTAAATATATGAAGAGGGAAAATGAATATTCGTCAATTTTAGCCACACTAAAACTAAGTCACGGTGCACACCCCCGAACCAAAACAGACAAATTCTAATTTTTGCTGTTGATGATATCCAAGACTAGAGGGTGTTGGTGTCACACCCCCGAACCAGACGGCGGAAACGTCTGGGGGCTGGCGTGACTTAAATTGAAATATCATCACAATGAATATATATGAAACATAACACATGCATCACCAACCATTACATAGTACAACTGGCATTATTGTTTACATCAAGTACAAGGTTTACATTACATGATTTCAAAATATAAAGTGTTTGGTGATTAGCTACTACAAAACAAACTTTCAACACACCGGATGCTTCCTTGTCTAATATTACCTGAAAACAATTTTGAAGTTCAACGGTCAACATATATAATGTTTGTTCATAAGTGTGTTTGATGTAAATAGTTATGTCATTGGAAAAGTCCGATATTTTCTGTATACTTTTCTTGAAAATGTTGTGATTCCTGTAATAATGCGTGAATGTTTGAATAA